TGTTTTTTGTAAAAAATACTCCTAGTTTTTGGCCATTTAAATGTGTGACTTTTCTGAGACAGAATCGGTCCAAATTCTGAGTGTTTTGCTTTTAAAATGTTTGCCCAGACAGTTACATCTGGGTGCAAAGGCAGAGTTGGTGGGGGTGGAAAGTTATGAAAAATCGGGGCCTAGGTTCATCAGTATCTCTCAATGTAATTAAATTAAAGCCTTTGCCTTTACCTTTGAGGTGGGAGGTATTGACAAAACTAAGAATGCCGGTGGCATTGCTGTAGTCCCTTGACAGCACATAGACAAACACATTTGTCCTTCATGAGGTCCTTTAACTTGTGAGCCAAAATAAATGTAAATAGCCAGTTAAAGTGTACGCCTTTTCCTTTTTTTTTCTGCACGAGTAGTGGAATATTGAAATGTCTCCAGAATTCAAAGTGAACCTTGGGTTCATTATGATACCATTAAAATATAATGAGCTTTACGATAGAAATGTCATCTTCAATTTCAAAATAGGCTGTCAGGGGAAACCCCTTTTTCTCTAGAGAGGAAGAAATGAATGTGAAAAATCTGTTACAGGGCTCTTTTCCCTTGGACTGAAGGCACTGCTTGAAATTCTGGGACCCCAAAGTGAAAGGCTCGGGGTCTCATTTTCCAGCGGTTCGAAGGACCTGCAGGTTGGAGTTTGCACACGTGTTGCATTGCAAAACGCTTGTCTCCAGAGGTGGACGTAGTCCTTCGCTTGCACCGTTCGAAAGGTCCCTGCTTTGAAGGAGAGATCACACATTAATTTGGGCTGATAATAAAGTGCTTGAAGGCTTAAGAACCTAATTTGAAGGCAGTCAGCAGTGGGAGTGCTCCACAGAAGTGGGCTTTGAGGGGGAGAGGGAAGTGTGGCGTATAGGAGACAGGATTTCTTCCCAAGCCTGTAGGAAATTGGGAAGACTGGGCCTGAAGCTTGGACTGAGTAAAGGGGACAAGGGAATTGTTAATCATAGAGGATTAGTTGTGCATCCGCTCCTTAATATGCTCATAAAGAAGGCCACAGCTTAACCTAGGGAATTGCACTGTGGTGATTGATGCTCGATGTGGCTATCCCCAAAAGAGCCTGTCCCAGGTAGGAATCTGGAAGACTGCTGCCTGACAATCACTTTTTGATAATGCCAGTGGCCACAATGCCTGGAGCTGGAAAATAATATCTGTCTTGCTTTTCTATGCAGGCAGGAGGGCTGTGTCCTAAATGGAGCAGTTCATAGTTGTCTGGAAGTGTAGGGCGAAAGCAAAGTTCATGTCAAAACCGTTGTGTAGGAGGGACATTGCAGCCTTACTAAGAAATCTTTCCTTAATAAGGTCCTATGCATGGGCTGATGCATCTCGCTTGCAAGTAGAGCAAAAGGAGCAGGGATGCGGGGGAAGCTCAGTGATGTGGGTAGGAAACCTCCCTGTTGAAACCCAGGGGAGCAGAATTGGGTGAAAGCTGAGCATTTTTTGAAATTTGCATCTTCAACGTATGCACGCCGGAAGCAGAGAGATCCTTACTGCTGCTCTGTTGGTGGCCAGGAGATGAACCTATATGCTACCGGAGGAGGAGTATGAGTTCTAGCTATGACTTGGATGGTAAAATTGCACAGCAATCGGGCAAATAAAAAAAAGCAGCGACTAGTAAGCAGAATCCTTGCAAAGCTTCTCACCGTATCTGACACTGCAAGCAAATCTGTCTGCTCACTTTTACTATTCTGTTTCCCTAACTCCGGGTGACAGTGATGGAAGTTGTGTGTGATTTTTTTTTTAAGGGGAAGAAACTGGCCCCTCCAAAATGGATGCTTACTCTGCAGTTTGTCCTGGAGAAGGAGTTTCAGTGGGTACCTGAGCGGGACACCCCAGCACAATTGTGACTTCTTCTTGTTTAACTTCCGGTCTGATTTTAGTCGGGACCGCCAGGGGCTCGGATGCTGTGCGGCATGTTCAGTCAGCTGCTGGGAAGGGAGCTGGTACCGTAGTTTGGCCTCCACAGTCTGTGCCCGACGTCAGCATCTGTTGCACCCCGGTGGCACCAGCCTGATAGCCGTGCTCCAGCCCAGATGTGGAGGGGGGGTGATCTCTTAGAAGGGAGGATGTGAAGAGGCCACTTCCTTCTTGCTGAATTCAAGAGGCTGCTTCTGAAGTCATGCTGAGAGCCTGACGATTTTTAAAACAAATGCATGTGCTTGTTGTTAACAATGCTTCATTAAGAGCATTCCTTGCGTGCATTTGCTTTCTTTCTGTGCTGCGTGCTTGAGCTTTGCACTAAGAAGCTTCCTGGTGAAAGATTATCAATGCTGCAATCATGAGGTGACAGGTGCTTCAGGGAAACACTGCCTCAGCCTGACAAAGGGAGTTTGTACCCAAAAGCTTGCAAAGAACTTTTCCCAGCTATTTTAGTTGGTCTAATAAAAGATATCAGATTTACCCAAGGGACCTTCTCAGGGAAACGTCAAAACATAACCTGGCCAGAGCCTCAGCTGGTGTGAGGTTTGATGAAACCCAGCTTACTCCCCCTGGCCCAACACTCAGCAGGAACAAGCATATTTTTTGAGCCTAAGCCAGTAGGTAGTCTGTGGACAGATGAGGCTATTAAATGTGATCACTTTTTATTAGACCAACTGAATCATTGGAAAAATTGCTTTTGGCAAGCTTTTGGGCACAGGCACCCTTCTTCAGGCATAGGGAGAGTTGTCTGGTGTGCGTTCGGGTCGTCCGTGGAGCTCAGCAGTTCGGTGGTGAAGCCTCTTTCTCTCTCGAAGTAGTTTCCTGCTCATTGAGGCACAGGTCAGGATTCCAAGAACTGAAGTGAATCAGTTCACTTTGGACGGCAGTGTTCGTTTCCAGGAGCTTTCGAGACCTAGGAAACTCGAAAAAACCCCACTACCTTTTTGCTCAGAGGTGTTTTGTCCGTTTCCAGGAAGACCACTGCAGGCTTCTCCGAAATGAGAAGGGAAACGGAGCCGAACGGTACAGCAATCTGGATATTAGATGAAGCCAACAGGAAGAGATTCAGCATTAAGTTTAAAGCCCTGTAGCTAAAGAGGAGATAAACAGCATAGATCCAGATTACCAGGGATATAACAAAGCAGCCACATGCAGGGCGTGAAAGCCAAAGATAGATTTTCATTGGAGCCTGGATACTAGTTTAACACTGTTTCAGATAAAAACACACTCTCAGGAAGTCACTTGACTTGGGATAGTAGGTGACCTATCGAAGACTATGGAGATGTGATCCCTAATAAAAGTGTATGAACTATTAACCCTGAATTCCCAGGCACATGTCTGTATATCCTAAGGGGAAATTGGCTTTAGTTTTGCTTGTGAGGAGGCACTGGGCAAACTGCAGTGTCTGACTCTTGACAAGTTTTGGTGTTGTGTAATAATGTTTATTCATTTGAAGAGAGCAGTATTGAAAGGCAGTGGACTTGAGTACTGTCAGTCCAAAATGGTGACATTATGATTTTTTTTTTTTTAACTATATTTTGTGGGGTTAGGTTACTTTTGGGTTTTTGAGTTTTTGGGTTGCCTTGAGTTGCTTTAAAGCTCCCTCACCACAATCGTGAGTGGTAGAAAGGGAATTCTTGAAAAAGACAGAGCATGAATGCTGCGATCCTCACGTAATCGGGGGCTTCCAATTCAGGGGCCATAATAAAAGCAGGATATACGTGGAGAGTTTCTAATTCTGGTGGATAATATGAAATGTATGTATTTTTGTTGGGAAAGGAAGAAAAAGTGGGTGGTCAGGACTAAGTCCAATCCTTGTTCTGAAGTGAGCAAGTGTGCTTGCTCATTTTAAAGATGCACCACTACCTTCTAAAACAGAAGCCCAAAATCTTCCCCTTGTGAATTCAGAAATCCTCCTAAACCCTGTCCTGGCTCCATTGGTATAGGGGGTTGCACTCCTGTCTGTGCATTCAGTTTTTAGAGAGCCAACATCATGGTATTCCTCTAATTCAGCCTTTGGCTTACTACATGGTAGTCCTGTTTTGCTCTGTTGTATTTTCAGAGTGCTCTGTGGTGATAGAGCAGCATAATAATTCATGGCTTTCCCTGATATGGGATCTAATTTGACATTAAAAAGGGGGGAAAAAACCAAATCCTTGAAGTTTTTGAGAGGGAAAATATTACAACAGAGCATAAAGTGGGTCATACAGACGTGGTGTAAACCCTTCCTGATCGTGTCTTACTCCTTGAGTACAATGCAGGCACTTCTGTACAATGTCAGCCTGTTCAGCAGTGTGCATAATGGGATGTAAGAATGTGCAGTGGGAGGCCAGAGCTGCTGAGAATAGCATCCGCTTGTTTCAGCCAGCGATACAATTATGTCGTTCCATTGCAAGCCGAAGAGGTTTTGTGTTTTTAGGAAACCTGTATCTAGTACATTGTGCTTTTATGGGGGAGGAGCTTAATGACCTTGCTGATTCGTTTCCTGTGTTCTGTTGTATAAAACCTATCCTCAGTCATAAAACAAGAATACCCTAAAACCGTATTGTACTATATCGCCCCCTCCTCAAATCTTGTCGATCCAGTATAAAATGCCCATGGGCAATTTGAGAGGATCACAAATGCAGAGGACAATTCAACTGTATTCACATCCAAGTTTTCCAGCTGACCTGGCTCTTTCAGTGGTGAACACAATAGGAAGGACCTCCATAGGGAGCTCTTTAGGGTGAATAGAGTCCGTCCTTGGCGAGATGGATGGGACTCTAAAAGAGAAGACAGTGTCGTGTTATCAAACTCGTGTCATTCTTAAGGTGTCTTGAAATCTCCCTAAAGTTTATGTGTTTGGGGTAATTTGATACCAAAAGCCAAAAATTGCTCCGGATTTCTTCAGTGGTATGAAATATATATAATAGCTTAAAAGTCGCACCAAGAACATGACTGCTTTGATACTATACCATACTCAAGTCTAATTCTCACTTTACAGTTTACGCGTTGAGAAGTGTTCTGAAATACTTAAATTGCAATATTTTATTTTTTTTCAGTCCTCCTGTAGGGAGCTTGGAAAAACCTCCAGTAGGGCTGTTAACACTGATGAGAGATCTTGTATGCCAAGGTATGAGTTTTTCATGTTCCTAGCATGTATTTAAATATGACTGGCACAAGTTGTGAAAGTATGGCATTGGGGAGGCAAGCGAGAAAGTATATGAATTATAAAATGTGTCACACAAGGTTAAAAACCTGTTTTAAATGCTGGTTCCTGCAGTCACAGCAAGTCAGAGAGGGAATTGCTGCTTCTTAACTTCATTCACAAGTCAGATGAATTATGCGTGTGTGAAGCCAGCCCCAGGTTCTTATTTGTTTAAGGCCGGTCAGGGAATACTTCTCTTGCTTTTAAAAAGTCTTTTGTCACAATCTTACTTACATGGAGGGAAGTGTCTTGTACTTCGCATTTCTTCCGGATATGCAAAAGCAGCAAACCACAGTTCTTACCCAGCCGGCTTCAAGCCGAGCAGCACATATGTGCCTGATGTTACTTGTGACTCCATCTCCAGTAGCAGGAAGAAGGGGAACCAACCAAATATTAACCGACTTCTTCAGCTATATAAAGTTATATTGAGACATTTATGTTTGAAAGAGCTTGTGCCACGTTTCAGGTCAGTGAGAAATTCTTGTGCTCGGCATCTCTTCAGTAATGGGATCTTCTTCCATCTCCCCCATGTGCTGATTTAGAAACTTTTTACTGATTCATTCGAGATTTCTTTTTTTCAACTAAGTGGCTATAGGTTTTTGGAAGGGCGTGTGAGGATGGTGAAAAGAGGGGTTGGAGCTGGTGTAGGATCTAGAAAGATTGTTTTAATTTACTGTATAGAACATCACAATGAAATGAGCTCTCTGCTTTAAATGCTTCTGAAATCAGGAGCTTGGTGATAGTGGTTTTAACTTTTCTTTTTTCCTTATATGGTGAGGAAAATATAGATTCACTGAACTCTTTTACGGAAGCATCCATTTGTGCACAACTACAGTAACTGGTTTGATGTAGCACAGATATCTGTTGCGTTGGGATTAAGCCTTTCATTGCAAGACTTTCTGAAGCAGCATGGTGTATTGGGTTGGATTTCCAGGCTTACTGTCTGACACTTGCTATGTGGCCTTAGGCCAAGAACTTCCTTATGCTTTGGTTATGACAATATAAAATTAACTCTCTTTACTTGCCTGGGGTGATCTGAGGATGAATTGGTGTTTGGAGGACATTCTGGGCAAGCGCTGTCTCTACTTCTCTTGGTCCCCACCCCTAAAGGATTGAGCCTCTAGCAGAACTGTCTCTTCTCCGGTCGACCTTTTCAGTTCACGTGTTTCCTGCCTGCAGCAGGTTCCTGAAGCTAGATAAATGATTGTGAATGATTTTGGTAAGCCAGAGCAAAGTTAGAGCTGAAATCCCACACCACGTGACTGAGGGATAGGTAACATTGCCCTCCTACTCACCTGATCCTCAGACATACACTACTCTTTCACAGCATGTGAGCTGGTGGAGCTGGCACCTTAATGCTATGCTCCTTTAGCCCTGATTCAGCAAATTACTTAAGCAGTTTCATTGCAGTAGGTCTGAAAAGGGTGTTTACCTGTTAGAAAAGTGCTTTAAGCGCTTGGCTGAATAGGAGTGGACATAAGTACATGCTCAGTGGCTCTGCTGAGTTGGATCCATAGGTCTTCTTTCAGACCCCCTGTCATGTTGTCTGCAGAATGTCTTACAAACATTTATTAAAATAATACCATTTCTCTTTCCAAGCTTGCCCGTTTGCCTTTAGACTGTGATCTCAGCAGGGCAGGGATTGCTTCTTTTTGACTGTCTAGAAAGCTAGTTGTTTTTTATTTTTTGTGGATGCTCCATAAATAGAGTTTCTTTTATTAGACCAACTGATATTTCAATGTCAAATCTGATATTTAACAGATACCAGATTTACCCAAAGAACCTTGTCTGCGTATGTCCTTAGACCAACATGGCTACAACCTACACCCCCATAACTAGACCATCTTTTGCTTTCCAGAAAGTTTGCCTCTGTGGCAGCAACAATAGAAAAGAACTTCTTTATATTTTTCTAAAGGAAAATGGTCCTTTTTGTACCTAAATGTATGCTACAAATAATTGTTTCAATCTGCATTTTGATGTTGGAGTCAGGATAGAAGGCAGGTATGATTTTTCTGTGGCTGTAAGAGATTGCAGCATGCTGGGGTGAGATTTACCCATTGCTGCAGACAAGTCCAGTGGGTCTGGATTTCATGATTGCTATTATTTAACTTCTTTAGTTTAATAACTTCCTTACTGCAACAGTTGACCGGTGAATAGGAGATCTACCCTTTGCCTCATTTTGCTATTCATTTTAAACAAGCAGATTTTGATACGTTTGAAGACTTGTGTTTTTTCCATAGCAAATTAACAAGCAACATAACAGCTTTCTTGTAAAATGTCGAAGCTGGAAGAAATATTTAGCATGCTAAGAAATCGCTTCATACTTTACTGTAATGCAACCACTGCTCAACAGCACAGCTACGCAAGGTTATGAATGTAAATGAATGATGCTATGTGTGACTGAAGATGAAGGTGGTATTCAGATGGGCATAATGCAGTTATCCAGATTAAAGCCAGGCAGTTTATTGCATGGTAATGCCTGTGCACAAGGCCTGTAGCCCTTTGGTGCTGTATAAACCGATACTGATACACTTACAAGAGTGCCTTGAAGTAATTAAAACACTCGGATCCTAAAGTGGCTGGGTCCTTGGTAGTAAAATAATCACAAGTGCTCACGGTCTTGTTTTCCTTGTCAATTTGAAAGAAGTTAACTGGCAAAGCCTGTAACCAAATGAGAAGTCAGTCTTGTAATGCTCCTGCCTGAAACTTTCCCATAAGTATTTTGACTGTAAATATGAAGTGAAAAACTTTGCAGCTAAATTTAATCCCTGACTTGATTACTCTGCTTTTTTCTGGGTGGGACTGAGTGTGGGGTTGTCTGCAGAGAGGGGTAAACTGGGTAGAATAAGGGACTTTTATGCTTCCTTCAGCATGCAGCATCTCCTAAATCCTAAGAAGAGATCTTTTTTTCTGTGCTATCTAAATTTAACTGAAAAAAATCCCCTCTCATGTTCTGTGCAAAATGATGGCTTTCAGGAAGTCAAATAGAAGGAAGTGAATATTGCTACTTGGGGAAGTTTTTCAGCCAGAAGAGTATAAATAAATACTCCGTTGTCAAAGTTATAACCATAAAAGCCTCCTCAAATAACAGTTCCGAAATGTTGCTCAGTCTATTTTTGGGTATTTAAAGTTGCCCAAGCGGGAAATCCCTTTCAAACAGATTTAGTTTCACTTTTTTTTTTTTTTTTTTTTTACAACTTTGGGGCCCTTGCAGCTTCCCATAGGCTCCAAGAGCAGTCTAGAAATCCCCCCACGGCGTGCAAGGTTAGGGGCGGCGTCATTTCAGGATATTCATCTGTGCAATCTGGGGGAGCAGGGCAAGGCATGAGATAAAGGATTTAAGAGGACTTCAGTCTCAGACAGGCAAGTATTGTTTCTGTTTTTTAGTTTGAAAATGAAGCTCAGATCAGGTTCTCTTGGTGGTGGGAAGTCAGAGAAAACGTGTGCACATCCTTACACTCATACTGCGTACAGATTCCGCGCCCCCCCCCCCCCCATCTGTGTCATCTTCAGATCATAAGAGGAGCTGTGGGTCTCCTTCCTGCAGGGCACGAAATGGGAAGTTGGGAGATCTCCCCAGTGATGGCTGTTTGACTGCTTTCAGCTTGCAATAGGCAGGTAGTGTGACAGACAGAGGACATCGTTGGGCACTCACTAACCCTGTGTCTTGCTGCTGCTTTGATGAGAGGAGCTGATGAGGATGCCCTGCTCTCCACTTGGCAAGTGCGTGCAGTTAACCTTGTCGGTGTCCATCATGTACGGTGTTCAGTGTGTACTCGGTGAATTGCATGCGGTGCTTCTTCAGTCTGGTTCAGTGGTAACTTCAATTGAACATGTCATTTTTAGGTTGTAGAAGTCAACTCGGCATAATGCTGAACTTCTCCTGTGTTCCCTCGGGCCCTCTGCAAAAAAATAAACGGTGCCGTAAAACCAATTATAGTTGCTACTTTGCAAGACATGGTAGTTGAACCCAGAATGTGTTGCTCTGCCCTTTAGATTACTTTTTCTTTCCATCCATATTAGCAAGCCCTCTTGCTGTTTGTCTTGAAAATGCCATTTTTTCCCCTGTTTACATATAGCACTGCACTTTCTGTAGAGTTTTATGTGAAATACTTTAGGTCACTGAAGAACAGATGAAGCACAGATTTTGTTCTGTTTTTAACATGGTCAAAAGTCATGTGGCATTCAGATACGTGGCTACTAGAGTGAATAGGGGTGTGATATCTGAAGAGAGGAGTAGATGATCATTCTGCCAGTGTACATCCCCTGAACACTCCTGGTATGAGAGACCAGTGCTTGGGACACCATTCCTGGCCAAAGCAGTGAGTGGGTAGAGGTCCCAGCTGCAGTCTTGAGAGAGGGATTTGGTTTGGTCTAAATTTAGCAAGAACCTGTCTAAATTATTATGTAGAGCTTCATGGCATATAACACGGAGCACGGGGAAAATTACAAATGTGTGACATGACTTTGCACTTGTAAAATGCCTTTGATTCGCATGCTTTGGGGAAGCTGAGCCACAAAGAGGGGAAGTGATTTGCCCAAGGTTACCCAGAGACCAAGCAGGGAGCAGAACCCGGCCCTATCCTACAAGTCCGCGCTCATGGTGGTTGAGTACTGAGTGCTGCATTCAGTTTTGGGCTCCACAATTCAAAAAGGATGTGGAGAAGCTTGAGAGAGTCCAGAGGAGAGCCACACGCGTGATCAGAGGTCAGGAAAACCTGACGACAGGCTGAGCGCCACGGGGCTCTTCAGCCTGCAAAAGCGCAGGCTCAGGGGTGATCTGATGGCCACCTATAAGCTTATCAGGGGTGACCACCGGTATCTGGGGGAATGTTTGTTCACCAGAGTGCCCCAAGGGATGACGAGGTCGAACGGTTATAAACTCCAGCAAGACCGTTTCAGGCTGGACATAAGGAAGAATTTCTTCATTGTCTGAGCCCCCAAGGTCTGGAACAGCCTGCCATCGGAGGTGGTTCAAACACCTACTTTGAACACTGTCTCAGAGCAGCTCAGTGCTCTGCTCCTATAAAGAGGGGGGGTGCATAGCACGGCACTGAGGGGCCTGCTACCTATGGAGCAGTAAGTAAGGAGCCCAGCTGCAGGTTGCCAGGGCAACTAGTAGAAGTCAGCTGACAGGAAGGGGCAGGGCCTGGCCCCTATACAATTCCCAGGCTGAGGCCAGGCAGGTATTTCCCTGCTAGCAGCTGTAGAGGAAGGAGCTCTGCCGGACTGATCAAAGAGGAGAGGCTAGACCGCAGGTCTAGCTGTGAGACTGGGGGAAGGATAGAGCACCCCTGATGTGGCAGGACTAATATTATAGCCAAGCGGCTTGAATTTATGTTGTAGCCAAGAAGCTTGAGTTTCTGTTTGCTGTTTACACCCGGTGGTTTGGGTGAGGCTATTACGGGTTGGAGGAGGCCTCATTGGGGCTCCACGCTCACGTGGGGACCCCGGTGCCAGAGGGGCCACAGCATTTGGGGGGTGCACTGACCTCAGCCCCGAGAAGGGGAGTGGAGAATTGGAGGCCAGGTAAGGCTGCGGCCACCTGAGCCCTGCAGGAGGTTCAAGACCCCGATGAGGAGATTTGGGGCCAAGCATGGCTATGGCCACCTGAGCCCCCCAGGCTGTGGAAGCCCTAGAGCAAAGAGGCGATGGAAGGCCCTAGAGCAAAGGCAGCGGAAAGCCAGAGCGCCTGTGGGGCGTAGGTTGCGGGACAAGCCAGAGCACCTGTGGGGTGCAGAGAGTGAAACAGACCAAACAAGTCCGGTACATCAGCGCGGCTTGGGGCATGGTACAGGGGCGGTTGGAGCCACACATTGCCCATAAGACTGGGGTGCACGGAAACCCCATTGTAAAAACAGAACATGTGACAGCAGGAGAAAACCGTGTCCAAGAGGACGAAAGGCAGCTTCCCTTTAATATTTAAGATCAAGACGTGGCAGGCAAGATTTGAGGGTGCTTGAAGTAAACTTGGCATGGTAGGGGTGCCAGGGGAGATCGCGGCCACCCCTAGGACCCCGCTCCATTGTATTTTCAGAGTGCTCTCTGGTGATAGAGCAGCGTAATAATTCGTGGCTTTCCCTGACATTCTGCAGTGAGTAGAGTAACTTGCAGAATTTCACCCCGATGTGGATACGGATCGATGCACTGTTAAATATGTGGCTGACGACAAGCCTAGTGGTGCCCATACAACTCCTGTGAAGTAGGTAGTTATTCTAGTTTGTGACCATCATTCACATATTATGTATAATTTAAAAGGAAGTGACCACTGCAACGGATAAGATTGGGCTTAGCAGGCCTCCTCCCTTTAATTTCTGTGATTTCTTTCTGTCACTGTGTGGCGAGGTTGCGGGCCCTGAAGTTAAACTATTCATCCGAGACAGTAGCCAGCTCTGCCTCAGCCTTCTCCTTCATAACCTTGGGCAAGTCACGTAATCTTTCTGACCTCGTTATCTCGCTTTTACACACAAGGGTAAGACTTCCCTGTGTCACAAAGGGGTTGTGAAGATGAATGCATTGTCTGTGAATTGTTTGGGTCCCACAGTGGTGGCAGCTGAGGCAGTGCCTGAATGGATATCTGGGTATTCGGACCTTTATTTAAAAAAAAAAAAGAAGCTTGCTTTCAAGTATTTCTGCAGAGAATTTCTGTCGTTAGGTACTTTATTGGATTCTTAAAAAATAGAGACTTGGGATACTGTAGCGTGTGAAGTCTTTTTTTTTTTTTTTTTTTTGTGGATTTCCACTACAAACTTGTACGGAAGAACACAAAGGATGCAGATACTTCAGAAGCCATTAACTGTTTCTTTCTGTACATGTCAGCCTGGCCTAAAGATGCTAGAGGCACATTCTTTTGTGGCTGTCTCAGAGAGAGGACTTCAGGGATGCTGCTTGCAATAACCAGCATCTCTCTATTCAGAGTTCCCAATTTCTAACGCTAAATGATGCATGAGGGCACAGAGAGCTTAGCAGTGCTGTACTGTTTTTATTCATTTTGACAAGTGTAGAGATGATTACAGTAACATCTTGCAGCATTATAAATGTATTAGCGCCTATTTAGTAAGATTTGTACGAAGTTGCATTGAGAGTTGCCTTGACAATGAGTGTGCTGCAGTTCCTTCTCAGCGTCCGAGTTACCAATGCCCTGATCCAGGAAAGTAAACCCATGCAAATACAGCTTATGGGCTTTGTTAGTTCAGGTTTAAGACTGGGAAGGCAGTATATATATAGATTGTAATAATGAATTGCAGGTTAGCAAAATAGTGGGTTTTCACCCAATTTTGGATTATCGCCTGCGTGTACTGTAAGAACAAGTTTTAGGATTCAGGTCTTTTAACTGGTAAGGACGTAGGGTGAAAGTGTGATAGAATAAGACCTGCAAACACTGCAAGACATCGTGTGGGTTTTGTCCCATTTCTACCAGCCAGGGACTCGACTTGCTCTTCCTGAAGGAGCCATCTTCCCATACCTGCTGTTCAGGCAAACAATTCAGATTGGTATTTCTTCCTTGAGGGGCCACTGACCACAACATGCCAAGCTTTGGGACGGTGCGTCTTGCACCCTATGCGCCCATCTTTGGATAGGACTTGCTTCATTGATCCAAAGTCAGAGGTGCGTGGGCAGGTCAGGGTTTGCGAGTGGGGAAACCTGTTCAGAAGTCCGCATGACATCTGGCATGCACATGTAACCCAGTTGTACTCTTCTACCAGTGCCTAGCATTAACATGGTTCAGGGGCTACTTGTTCCTCCCCTCCAAGGCAGTTGGAACTGTTTTTCTATTTTCCGGTTTGGTAATTTGGGGGAACATCTTTGTATTGATGTAGCTCCCGGCGTGGGTCAGTTGTGAACCAAAATCAAATATGTGCCACCAAGTGTCAAGAGTGTAAAAGCCAAGTACCTTATTTACATAGCATCTTTTGGGATTTAGGACTGATTTTCCACTAGCAGTAAACACTGTGCCTTCATAGAGCAACCTCCACATTTCTTTTCAATGTAAGGATGTTATAAGCTTCATCTCAGTTTTATGCCTGTATCAACTGGCACGTTACAGAGGTCGCAATGAATCTGTGGCAATGCTGGGAATATGAGCCAAGTCTTCTGTGCACTGGGTTGATGCCAGTGAGTAAGATGGCATAAGTTGGATCTTACTACAAAGAAAAAACCGTAATCTTATTAGCTGTAAAAATAACAGCTAGGAAATCCAGTAAATAATGTGACACATTAGTTTGAAATGCCTCTGAGAAGTGAAACCTATCCAGACTCATAGTATGCATGTTTTTGAATCCTTACTTGGGAAGAACATGCTATCTTACCGGAGAAGAATGAAAAGATAATTGGCGGGTGATGTCATTGTTTGCTTGGGCTCTGTTGATAGGGGCAGCTGAGCCTGGCGTATAATATAAACTCCATGTAAAATGTTTATCACCGCCGCTGTCATGCTCCTTATTTGTCAGGGAAGCTTGATGAGAATGAGAACTTTTCTGGAGCTGCGCAACCAGTTCAGAGAGTTGAAAGATTTCCATAAAAAGGCACAGGCATTGTTTGGAAGAGCTGAGAGGCTTCTGGGTTGGCAGCAGTAAGTTAGGTCTGACCTTTTTCAGGAAGAAAATATTGACCCAAACCATTTCTTGTTGGGGAGGGCAGTGGGTGAAGTCAACTCTGCAGTTAAAATTTGCTAGTTTAATTGCCTGTCCTTTTTGCTCTTCAGTGTTGGGCATAAGGAGGGAAGGTAAAACAAGCGAGTACTAATATTTTCTACAGCTGGAGGATAAATGCATGTGCTGTCTATGAATCATTGCAGAAAAATGTGTTCCCCTTAATAAGTTTGTGTTTGAGCAAACCTCAACACGGGAGAGGAAAGATTAGATTTGCGCTTGTCCTGGGAGAGTGCCAGACCTGAGGTTTTGGTGCCCTGGGGGAAGCAGCAAGTTCCAGGATTGAAGGCACCTTGCAAGTTTCTTGGAAGACTTGAATAATTAAAACTCTTTAAAACAAAGAAAAGTAACAATAACACAACTGCGTGCCTGGCATCCTGCTGAAGACAGTAGTGAAAAAAACCTTCCACACTCTCCGTGATGTGAAGGCTGAGGCAGTGATGGATGGAGGAAGTGAATCGTCCAAAGAGTGCTTCCCAGTCCTGCTGCCCCCGGGTAAAATCGCAATAAGTTTCCCTGTTACCGCTCCAGAGACTGTACAGTGCATGCTGTGCATATTGCAGGAGGATGCAGAGGAGCTTTGAGATGATGAGACGATGCTTGCAGTCACATGCCTAATGCCATGTTTTGTCTCCCATTTTTCAGGTTGTCAGTATTTGAACAGACCACATCATGCGTGAGTACAAGTTAGTGGTCCTCGGGTCAGGAGGCGTGGGGAAGTCTGCTCTGGTGAGTTGCGTTGGTCAGTAAGTCACCTTGACATCACTGGCACATCTGAGGGCATTTGGGAATCAGTTGTGCCTGCTTATAAATATTGCTAACAACACTGGGACCTTTTTAGAATTTTTCAAATACCTTGCAGGGTCTGGCTACCAATTGTTGAGCCACTGCAGTAGCTGCAAGCTTAGCAAGAGATTTTTAAAAGATTCCAAATCTTGCAAGGTGGAGCATCTTCCAGGAAGAGACTGATTGGACCGCACCAAATTAATTAACATTTCACTTGCGCTATATAGCATGCGAAGTATAGCAGATAATTAGGCATGTACATCTGCAAGGGGTCTATGTGCAACCTACAGTAGAAATGAAGCCCAAAGACCATTGGCTTACATGCTAGTAGGTGGCTGATGGCTCAGTGGAGCTTTTTAGTATCTCCCTGCCCAACGACAGAAGGATCAAAGTGGCCTGATGGCAGCTAGCACTGTGGAAGGAGGAGTTGCCTCTTCAGAGTGGTTTGCATTACAGTGTTGACAGCACAGTGAGTTCACTATAAGAGAGATTTCAAACGCTTGCTGTAGGTGCTTAGCTGTCTGTCACCAATCAGTCAGCCAGCTCACTGCCGAACGGACTCTGGACTGGTGGAAACTTCAGAGAAACACCATTGGCCTGGTCGCTTTTCTTGTCAGGATGAGTATAGCGTATTGGCTATCTGAAGCCAGGCAGAAGTCAGGTGCAAGCAGAGGTTGTGTCCTAGAAAAGTTGTCTTTTCTTGGATCCTTTCACTTTGGCGAAGCTGAGAAGCTAATGCACTTGGTAAATTGCCTATGGAGTCCAAAGGGCATGCGGAAGGAGAGAGATGGGATGTAAAGCACATCAGGCTGTTAAATAATTCAGCTGGTGCGATGCACTCTTTAATAGAAACCCCATAGTAACCTGTGGCAAATGTGCAAGTGTAGAACTTTGTTTTTAAAAATGACATCTTTACATAAAGCCCTGTTCTCCCTCAGCAACTGAAGCAGTCAATACGGAGAATTTTTTGCCAGTATGCTTTGAGGGTTGGTTTGTGGAAGGCTTATAATGTTCCTGATTTAGGAGTTGTACAATAAGACACACAAAGAAAATGTCAGGCAAATGTTGCATTTATTTGTGATATAAAAGCTAAATTGTCCAGTGGTCATTTTGTGTAACTGGAGTATGCACTAGTGGGATTTTTTTCTAAATACTTTGCCTTTAAGTTAAGGCCTCCATTAACTAGTTAGTTCTTAGACCACTTCTGTGCAAGAAATATAACTTTGTGTTGGTTTCTTTAATATAAATATTGCAGGTGATGAGTGTGGGTCTTGTATCTTCGGTAGCAGGACAAATCGGAGTACGTGCATTCAAGTCAGTGACTTTATCGCTACCGGTGGTGCAATGAGAAGGGAATCTGGTAAATAGAAATTTAGCAAGCTCTTTATGTGGCAGTGTAGATACTGCCTATACAACTTTGCTCTGACGTACTGATAATGGGACACAATAAGCGCATGTCAGCAGCTGACACTGCTGAGAGAACAAAATATTTGGCTTATGAACATCAAGTTATTTAAAAGCAGCTGAAAGGAGAGTTTCCAGAGTGGGAATTAAAATTGTATTGTGGACGAGATTCAAAGAAGCCATTATAATAGAAGTTTATTAGTGGTTACTTTACATTTCCTTGTCTTCCAAGTAGTTACGCTGAAATAAATTGTAAAGAAGATTGTATTCACATTCAGTGTTTCATTTCTCTGTTGAATTCCAATACAGTATCTTGCTTTTCTACTGCTAATTCCTGTTTTAACTTCCCAAAATGCCTCTTCTTGTGCAACGAAGCCCATTGTCCTGCCTCCTGGCAGCGATGACAGCATAGCAGAAAATCCTTAGGAGGATGTTATTTTAAAATGAAATAATTTTGAGTTAAAATTTCCAATAACAGTAATTTTAAAAGCATTCTTCACAAACAGCAGTTTCCTGCATCTTGGCCTTCTGCCCATAGTATCATCAGTATCCATTGGCAAATGGTCCAATGTATAATAGGAGAACCACAGAAATTAAATATGTTAAATCGCAAACAGTAATGTGTTGCAGATGTGACTGGAGAGACAGGCGCTCCTAAACCTGCTGCTTCTTTGTCCTGAAGACTAACTTGCAAACATGGGATAATTACTCATAGTATGCTTTGGGACCTGACTGCATTGCTTTTTCAGGTGGTACCCTCTTTGATAGTACCGTGTTGAAAAATCCTGACATGGGATCAGTGTAATCTAAAACACTTCCGCTCCATATGCTTTGACTTCTGGCACCTTATAACCTCATTTACTGCATTACGGGAGATAATGGTGTTCCTGGGATCTTTTTATTTGAAGGCAGGTCTGAGATTCCATCTCAGCATAGTAGGGCAATGTCACGGGAACGGGGGCTTTGATCCTTCTCGGGGATGGAATAGGTTTGGCTGGTGAGGCAAAAGAACTTGGGAGAGGGAGCGCTGAAGGAAAATTTCTTGAACAGGAAGAAAGCAGTTTTCTACCTCTTGTATCTAAGACAGTGCAGTTTCCAGAATACAGCAATGCCTTTTGTAGATGACTGCCCATACAGTTCTCTTTCCATATGTGAAACTCCGTGTTCAAGGAGCGGTAACATGTTTCATCCCTAGTGAACAAAAATGCCTTCCCTTTGTTTGGACAGACTGTGGGTGCCAGGTTGTGACTTAAGAGAGTTTCTATCTAGAAGAGTGAGAGAGGCTGTTGTTGAGAGTGAGTTTGTATATTTATATTGACTTTAAAGAGATGCAATAAGTACCAGATTCTTGGCAGTTATCCACTATTATATTTGCAAAAAACCCTTGCAAACATTTACTGCACCTTCCTGTATAGGTGACGTAGATTTTATTCTTACCAAGAAAATGAGGAACAGTGGTTGCAGCTGTCCTTGGTTACGTGGCCAGTCAGTGGCAGAGCTAGCGTAACAGCCCAGGTGTTTGTGGTTCACAAACCCAGCCTTCTCGGGATTATGCAGTCTTCCCTGGGAAGGGAGGACGAGCACAACTGACAATTGAGCTATTATTCTGTGTTCAGAATTGCCCAGACGGTGGGATCAGTAGAGATCTGGCTGGCCGTTCACCATGCTTGGTGCTTCTTATATCCCAGTGCTTAACCTGATTAAAAGTTGCATACATTTTTGCAGTCCTTTTGGGTGACAGTTGTGAGGAATGTTTGTTTTTTTTCCTTAGGCCTGACTCAAGATTTCTGACTGCTTGGAGTTAGCCATGCTAACTTTTTGTGATGGGCTGTTTTTGAATAACTGCTGCTTGAAGAACGGTAGAGTTCCCTGATTTGAATTTCATGTTTAACTTTTTTTCTCTTTTTTTTGGCAGACTGTACAGTTTGTTCAGGGAATTTTTGTTGAAAAATATGATCCCACAATAGAAGATTCGTATAGAAAGGTAAAAATAAAATGGTGATTATTTCTGTTGAGTCTTCTATAAGTTCTTATCCTTTTGTTGTTATCACAGCTGTTACAATGGCAAAATTCCAGCTCAAGGTTGATAGAAATTTAATTTGAATGACAGGTGTCCAGTTGGATCCTTAGGACCCAGTTCTGGAAATTGTTCCATGTGGCTTTATCCAATGGCTGTATAGAGCAGTGGTCTCCAAACTTCTTTGGTTGCGCACCCCTATCAGTAAAAATTTTTTGAGTACACACCCCCAATATATGTATATTTATATAAATATAAATAGAAGTTCTAATATTTTCTTCCCGCACCCCAGTGGATCGTCTTGCACACCCCCTGGGGTGTGCACACCCCACTTTGGAGACCACTGGTATAGAGAACTGTGCAGACCCTAGGTCTTGGTGTACTCCATGCCCAGTTCACCATACTCTACTACCTCTTAAATAAGGCATCATTTGCCATTCAGCAGCATTTATAACATTCCTTAATGTAAGTAAAGGACATACCACAAATATCACACTAGATTTGATTACTGAAGCATAGTATTTTTTTTTAATTTTTTTTAAAGTAGCAACCTCTTGAGTGTTTAGTTGACATGAGCGCTGCTGGTTTTGAAGGCGTATAAAGTTCTTCACTGCGTTTTTGGAAGTAAGCTTGTAATGGCAAAGCAGAAGCATTATCAGAATGCTTGACAAGTGGCTCTGTCACTGTATCAGTGGAGCTGCATTCTTCGCTTAGATTGATGTAAAGTGTCCCATTGTTTTAGAGATTAGAATAATTGTCATAATTAAAGGCCCAAAAACAGAAGGCTGAAAAGACCCGCTGCTTTTTTTTTTTGTGCATTTGCTGATTAAAATCTAAAAACCCTGTTAAGCACTCTGTAGTTAAGATTTACTTTTCCTGAAATTAACTTCTTTGAGCTGAAAAATTTGTCAGTGAGCAGAGCACTTAGAAAATACTAGGGTGTAGCTGCAAACTGAGTTTGAGTTTTGGCTTGGGTTTTTTGATGTGGGGGTGTAAAAGACAGCAGATATTACAGGGCTCTTTGGGTTTTGACTCTGTATCTAAAACTAGGGCACATTTGCAGGTATGAAAAACATTAATGTTGTTTATCTCTTTTCTCTTTTCCTCCAGCAAGTGGAAGTAGACTGTCAACAATGTATGCTTGAAATCCTCGATACTGCAGGGACGGTAAGAACATTTTCTCTTCCAAATAATTATGGAACTTTTAATGTCACAAATCAATAGCTGCTAGTACTCTAAACTACCATGTTGTGAACGTGACACCTAAAACACTGCCAAAAACAGAAGAAACCTGTGTAGTGTGATTTACACAGCTAAAGTTCTCTCCCAGAGGGAGCAAGTGGGTTAGCTCCCCACATGCTAAACCTCTTCTTAGAAATCAGTTGCTGCCTTGATAACAGGGTGATAACATTTGTAGGTTCTTATTTGCAGAATATTTTGCTACTGTGCTTGTGTCAGCTGAGTGCTAGCTAGTGCTCAAGTGCACAAAGACAGGCTGGTCTCTGCCCCAAAGAGCTTGCAGCTCTGTTTAAGGATAAGGCCTGTGGGTATGTAATGAGTAGTATGGGGACAGGCAAGAGAGTGACAAGAGTGGGATCACATCTCGCTGTGGGTACAACTTGAAGGGTTCTGAATCACTGAAGTGGGCTTGGTTAAAAAACACAGATGAAGCCAGGTTTCCTGGCCTTGATGCCTCCTTTCTCATTGCACTTTACCGCCTCCATGCTCGGGCCTGTCTCCAGACAGTGCTGAATGAGACATCTCCTCCTCTTCCTCCTTCAGTTGCTCCCCTGCTAGAGAGGACAGGATGAATAGGGCCATGTCCAGAACATTTAGGCAAGTTGGGTGAGGTCCTCGCATCCAGTCCTCCGTCCATGACCAGAAGGTTAATAGATGTAGTTATTTCTGCTAGTCTGAAAGCAGGGCAGGATGGGGTAACTGGTTACTCTCAGAATACCACCTTGCCCTGTCTTCTTGCCAAAAGGTTACAGTTGGGGTTAGGCCTATGGGATTTCTTCTCTCCTGGCTGGGCATCTCAGGTCAGTCCCCCCAAGCCTGCTCCAGGTGAAGCTCTTTCATCCCCTCTCCACCTACCATCTGAGAAGGTCCTTAAGGAAATGCAAAAAGCTGTCCCAGTGCCACTTCATCATCCTGCGGGAGGTGCCACTGAACAGGCAGGCTGTAATGGTTGAGAGAGCACTATGGGAGGAGGATCTGTTGCCTTGACACACAGTTGCTGTTTGTTTTACAAGGCACTTGAATACCATGGGTGTTGAGAGTGGCACAGAGCAAGAGAAATGCCAAGCCTTGTTATTAGGATTTCTAGCAAAGGCTCTTTTCACTGACTTGGACTAAAGAAAGCTCTCGGGTCTTGGATGCATAGGTTTCCTAACCTGCCCTTGCAGTAACTTCACGTTTCATTGCATTGAGCCTTCAAGAGGTTTGCGTAGTGCAAATGGCTGCTGTGTAATTATGTATATTCACTGGGGCCTTCTTTCTCCCACACACTGGTCTTCATGAGTCCCACGTGTGACACCTAGGCCCAATACCGTAAGAAGGGATTGAACATACAGTCTGTGTCAGTTATCTTCCTGTTCCTTTTGGCTGGTTTACTGATTTGGGAGAGAACACATCTATATGTGTCATTGCAGGACCCCTGGCACGGCTCTACGAGCACTCGTGGTGCTCTGGAGTGGTGCCGGAGGACTGGAAGAGGGCCAATGTGGTTCCCATCTTCAAAAAAGGGAGGAAGGAGGACCCAGGAAACTATAGGCCAGTTAGTCTTACCTCGATCCTAGGCAAGCTGTTCAAGAAAATTATTCTGGCACACATCCGGGAGGGGCCAGCAGGGGACTGCATGCTTAGGGGCAACCAACACGGGTTCATCAGCGGCAGGTCCTGTCAGACCAACCTGGTGGCCTTTTACGATCAGATCACCAGATCATTAGATGCAGGGGTAGCAGTGGACATAGTCTTCCTGGACTTCCGGAAGGCTTTTGACACTGTCTCTCACCC